CACATAAGTAGCACAATGTCGATTGTTCGGAGTGCTAGAGAAGAGGCAGAGGTGTTGGAAGTGATAGAGTTCAATTCATATTCGAAGAAGAACACAATATATGCTACTTAGCATAAAGAAATTGTGCCCAAGAATACTTTAGAACACGTATATGCTACTTATCAGGAACAATTACACTGTGGCACATTTTATCATAAAGAGTTTACACTTTAAGACACTTCCTCCTACTAAGGCACTTATTCTATGGTAGATTACTATCCTATCCTTTTTCTACTCTTGCGTACAATTTTTTTTGTTTTCCCTTTTTTCTTCTTCTGACAAATTTCTTCTTCTCTCCTTCTCTCCTATCGTTCACATACAATTTTTCCATCAATGTCTTTCTTAATCAATTCTATTTTTGTTAGATTATAGATCGATCACAAAAATAGTAACCGCAATCACATTAATCGGAATCATGCCTGATTTTGTTAGATTATAGATCGAGATTATTTGAGAAAATCCCCAAATAGAAATTTGATTTTCGGTTTGTTTAAGATCGCAATTACAACCGAAAATCCAATTGTTGTGCTTTTGAGCATTTGTTTGAGAAGAATTTGTATGTTTGCTGGATTTAGGGTTGTTTGAGTTCGTAATTACACCCAAAATCCACTTACTGTGTTCTTGAGCATTTGTTTCGGACGAATTTGTGTGTTTGCTTATCTTTAAGAAATCTTTAATTTCAATTATCTTTAATGAGCCCACGTGGATGTGTTCATGTGGATGTGTTTCAGACGAAGTTGAATACATTTCACTTTCATTTCAATTATCTTTTAATGAGCCCAAGTGGATGTGTTCATGTGGTCAATAATACACAACTATCAAACAAATGCATAACATGTATATGTAGCATGTACATCAACTTAATAGAGAATCCCTAATGTTAGAAACATGATTTCTTACGCCGAGAACAAACAATAATCACAAAACCCAAAAGAATACACTTAGTAGATTTCATAAATCAACTTTTTTAATGAATCAAAATATATTTACGTGGATATGTACGTGGGCAATAGTATCACTTTTACACTAGTAAACCATGCATAATTTTATCCTCATAAAATTAGCACAGCTGTAAAAAGTTTCTCAGAGCATGAGTATCCTCATAAAATTAGCACACCTGTAAAAAGTTTCTCCAGAATATTAGTTTAATAATTTAATCTGCCACATGACTCATGATACGTTTCATCCGTTTTACTCTATTGATATGTTTCATGTGGTATTTCTTTTTTAATTAATTTTTTTATTCAACTTTTTTTTTTGTGATACTTCTTGTTGTATCATGAGTAATCATGCTCTCACATACTTTTGTACTTTTATAACCAAACAAATCCTAGCCACATATTCAAAAAATTGTAATCGTGCACCATACATCTACATAGTCAGATATCAAAGTGGACACAAGCAAACTTAGAGGTATATTTTTGTCTAATTTCTTCACAAAACAAGGAAAAGTACCTCCACAAAAAAAAGTGTCTCATTTGAAAGAAAACTCCAAGAAAGTGTGCCTCAATGTAATCAACTCTACTTATCATAAGGAAATCGTGTACAGAAATACTTCAGGGCATGATTTAATTACTCTTTAACTTTTTGGGCTGGGGTAAACGAGGTTAGCAAATGTTGTTTCAAGTGAAAACCAAACTAAGGAGGTGGAACAAATTTATACCCTTTTTAAAACCGCCAACCGGAGAGCTATCCTGGTTGGTTTATGCCTAAAAACTGGAATTAAGAAAATCCATATATGGTCCAAGTTAACTATTTTTCTCTCTCAGACATTGCTTTCGAGAGTTTCCCAAATTGTTTGAATTTCTGAAGCAAATATTTTCTTCGTTCAAACACGTTACCTCTCACCCACTTTTCTTTACCACAAATATAAGTTTTGGACGAGACTGGGTTCTCCGACGGTGGTAATTGCGGTGGTCCGAGATCTCGGAGCTCTCCAAGTATGATAACCACTATCTGGTAGCAACGTCTCTTTGACGGAGACTTATTCCCAGCCCCATGAGCTGTCTGTGGTAACTTATCCTCCATTACTGCAGTATGCAGAGTTAAGGTTTCTCATTTGGTCTTGGATTCGTGTGACAATACTCTTTTATAGAGCCCATAAGAATTCACTTCCGGAAGATATAACTATGTTTTAGAGCTCCTCTAGCTATAATTCCAGTCTTGGTCGCACTCCAACAAATTGCTTTCATCAAACAACACTATGTCTCACAGATACTCTAGGGCTGAAAAAGAAAAGTGGATACCTTCGACCACTAAGCCACCCCGCCGCTCCCCAGTCCGTATTCCAGCTAGCGACACTACGACCCTCATAGAAGACAATAAACTTTCCCTCATAGGCAGAGTATCTAACTCGATCATTCAACACCCTCGAGCAGTGGTATACTACTTACCTCAACTCTGGAACTTGGACAGTCGCGTCACGGGTAGAGCTCTTGGTCCCGAGACA